ATTACAGTGTACCATGATAGGTAAATTGGTAACATCTACACTCATACTTAGACACAGCATTTTGTTTTTAGAACTCATCAAAACTGGATCTATTACAGGATTCAGTACAAATTTTAACAAAGTTTTCTTTTTTAAAAAAAAATCCCTTCCATGCTCTGAATTAATTTGCAATTGGTACAAAAAAATTTAAAAGCATAGACTATTTGTACAAAGGAAGAAGTCCTGGGCCATCTCGTTTCTGAAAAACAAGTTGAATGTGTTTGTAACTCCAAAAAAAAAAAGGGGGGGAAGAAAATCGACAATATGGTGAATCTTGAACTTCAGATTAAACTGTCTATAGCTCAGAAAGTTAGCAAAAGCAGCAAAAATCGATTCTACATACACTGTAATTGCTGCAACAGATACTTTGAAGATTTGAGCATTTTGTCTCCTGAATATTTTCGTGTATACTTCATAACATATTCTTTTTAATAACAACCATGTATTAAAAGGAAAATTGATGTAGTTAGGATGAAAAATGATTTACAGAGTCTGTGTAAATAGAAATAATACACATATAGCATAGTTCCTCATTTCAAAATTAAAGAGAGCAAGAAGAATGGAAGACATGAAGTGGTGACAGTGATGATAATATATGGAGTCTTGTAGTCAGCTATCTGGAATTCGGTAATGAAGAAATTTGGCCTACGAGAGAGAGGATGAAGATCATCTGCCTATAGCCTATTATCATTTGCATCCATAAGGTTATTCATCTCTGATTTCGCTGCTTGTGTTGTGTAGAATTGTTATGTATTATTTTACAATGTTTAATGATTATATTAATTTACAGTGAATAGTGAAATTTAATGTTCACATTTCAGATTTAATTTTTTAATATATAGTATTGTTTAAACCTTTTACATTTGATCACAGTAAAGCTCTTATTTAGCCAGCATAAAATCTTGTACAGCTAAAGGCGGGTGATTTTTTCATTTCTCCATGAAGGGGTCACTTTGGGGTCAAAGGTCGGGCGGCCAGCTGCCTTTTTCCCTCCTTTATCTTTCGGGGTTGAACCTGTGTTTGCTTGTTTGGAGGCGAATAGCTAACGAGCGGAGCTACTTGAAAAATTTATGGGTTGAAACACATTTTCTTGTTGTTGGCAGGGGAAAAAAGGGTATGTTAATTAAAAGAGGGGGCTGATTTTTTTCGTATTTTGGAGGTTTGTTCTAGTTGGTTAGAGAGGTTTCCAGTTTTGTGTCGGATAGGGTAGATTTAATTTTATTGATATTTTGATCCAATTGTGAATATAGAGACAGGTCATATTTTGAGTGTCACTGAGGTTTTAATAGTGGTTGCGCGTGAGACAGGAGCAAATCTTTAGCAGTTTTTCACCTTTGAAAATTTACAATTAGAAGAGGAGTGAGCAAAGCCCGGTGGCCCCTTGGGGACGACCGCGGTCTACGAGTCTAATTTTCCGGCGACCCTGGAGTTGGTTTGTCGCATTTCAGCATAGCAATTTCGGCTACACATGAATCATTGCCTAAGAATAATTCAGAAGCATCAGAGTTGAAAACCCGCATGGGAACTGTTACAGTTTGACTGTCTCAAACGCAACCCTGACAGGCATTCTGCCAAAACACATAGACTCATCCAAAAGGGGCATTATCACTTGTTGCAACATGAAAGGTTATGTGAAAGTCTTCTCTTCTCCAGAAAGAGATATGCTGGAGGGAAAGAAAGTCCCCATCCTTCTACCCTATTTTGAGGAATAATTTGCTCCGAATGCCGCATGCGTGTTTGCACTCATGGTCGCGTATGAGGCGGTCGAACTATACAGAGTATCAGTGTTCCCTTATTGGAAAAGATGAGCTCCTTTCCGTCCTTCAAAAGGGTGATTTCCAGCCGCTGAAATAAATGCGTAAACTTTCATCAAAACCTCTGGACTTCCGATTATAGAGAATCGGCAAGGGCTGCCTGCTTGATAATCGCTTTCTACAAATTGATGGTGCAGGATTCTTGAGAAGAAGATGATTTGCTGAAGGAAGTCATCAGTCAAGACTTTATTTTAGACAGTGAAGAATTAGTCAATCACGAGTGCCTCAAGCAGTTATCAAACTTTGGTTTCTTCGACAACTATTAAGTTTCGACTGTTTATAGTTTTGATGTATTAAAGAAACTAACATAACACCTGTGTGATCCAAAATAGAAAGTCAAGCTTTGCAGTTTACTGTGGTTTATGTAAAAGACTTGAAGTAAGATTACATCTAACTATTACAGCTGACATTCCTCTCTCTAGTTCTTTATACATAATCATAACATCTTAAGGCTACCTTAAAGACTTTCTTTTTTAAGTAGCACTTTTTTGTAGTCACTGCATAGAATTTAGTTTTCTCACTTTCTGCTTTATCCTCCCAAAATTAAAAAAAAAAAAAATTTTTCCATTTCCTTTTCATTAATGAAAACAGATACTTACACAGCTATTTCGTACAGCTGATCTGATTCAAAGTAAATATTCATAAAGCATGGTATACTTACATTAATAAATAAGTAGTTGAATAAAGTATCAGAATTTACACCTTTTTTAATCCCAAAACAAAACATCATCATATTCCATTTTAATATTTTATAATTAGTACTATATGAGGTACTGATGAAATTACTTCCCATAATATGCAATGAACACAATTTGAAAAATTTATTATTAAATTAGCATATATAAGCATTTTTTCTTGGTATATATAGATATATATATATAATGCAAGACAAACAAACATACATTATCAAATCATTTGGCAACCATAATCTATTTCTGTTGAGAATAAGGTTGACAATACTATAATGTCAACAGTATACTCAAAAGGGCCTAGCAGCATACATTTGCTTTTTACTTCCTTGTATGAAGTTCAGCAAAAAATTTCAGGTATCACATTTCAAGAAAAATATTCATTTTGAATACTCTTGAATCCAATTGAACAAAGTTTTTGCAAGACATCTGTATGTACGAACAGAATAAAGGGCTCTTTTCCCCAAAACTGATTGTAAAATGAGTTCACAACAAATTTTTCTCATGACATCTGTACATTCATACATACGTATCTTGTATAACTCAACAACAAGAAGCCTCAGAACACTAAAGTTTTGTATACAGGACTGCTATAACATGCAGCTGTGCACCTCCCTTTTTGATTGCAATCGGCCGCACCAAAGGCATATATATATGTATGTGATGAAATGCTGAATTTGTAATAACTAAGAAACTTGGCAGTCAAGGCAGATTAAATCTTCATTTTGATTTCAATTGACATCTGTGGCCACAATTTACTTGACACTCTAATCGTGCCTATTCAAGAACATTTACATTTTTGATATTGCAATAGGAAAAGAACATAGTGAAATAGTATCCAAGCAGCAATAAAGGTTGAAGCAAAGTGAGGGCAATTATCCTATATGGAAGCTCAACAAGAGAAGGTTTAGGTTAGAAAGGTTTCAATTTTCAAAATTTTCAGTTCAAGTCTCCAAGCTATGTCATTAGCTTTACACAAGCTTTGCGGCATAGTTTAATCTAGAAATGGTGCAGTCCAGAAAAGTTATTATTATTTTTTTAAATAGACAGAGGAAATACCTAAATTAAAAATGACGAATTAAGGGGCAATTAATAAATTAAATTATGCAGCTGATTTACATATTTTCGCCTTACATATTCTTTCTCCCCTTCAAAGAGAAAAAGACTTTTAGCATTCTATGAAATTAGAAGTCTTCAATATGGTCCTATGTTCTAAGTTATCTACGTGCTACACCATCAGCATTTACTATGTCTTTTTCTACTGTTTTCATCATGAGTCGGCAGAGTCATTACACATGCACATATATATACATCCACTCCGTTACTTGGCTTGGTGAGCTCATTTTTTTAAAATTCTTATGTATTGGTAAATTGTGCATTTTTTCCCCTTTAAAAGTGATTGATTTAAGTTGCTATTATGTTGCGGTTAACGTTTCTATGCCTTTAGTTAATCTGCATGCAATAGTTGTAGAATTAACAACAATTTAAAAGTTTTTTGAGTGGTACTAACGGTAACAAAGCAGCCATTTGTTTACGTTTGAAACTCTTAGCAGAATATTGTTTCTGCACAAACTTCAGTGTCTTTTTGTCAAGTGGGACCAAAAGTACCTTTAACTTTTTGTGCACCGAAAAATCTGTCTTCTTGCCAGCCGAGTAAATAGCTCATTTTTGGTAGAAACTCCAGTTTTAACCCTTCAAGTTATTTTGATGATTTGAGTACATAAATTGTCAATATTTTTTATTACAAAAATCAAATGTTTGCAGTGCAATCAAAAAATTAAAAAAAAAAAAAAAAAAAAAAAAAAAAAAAAAAATGACGCGCACATTGAATATAAATTTCTGTTCTGTGAAACCTCCAGTAAAGAGCTGCCATCTATTGAATTGAAGACGAAATAAACTTCTCACAATATATATTCGGGTATAACAATACAATGCACTAAAAACAAAAAACAAAAAAAAAAAAATTATGCCAAATAATAAAATTATAATTATAAATAAATATTTTGGAACACCAGTGCTATGCCCGAGATTATTTCAGACATGGCAGTTAAAAGGTTAAGTGTAAAAATTGTTTTTAACTGTATTTGGTGTTTTACATTTTCTTGGATTTTACAATTTTTAATGAAGATGTTTTGAGTTTCTGTGTAGCTTTGCCTTACCCCAGAGTGAGAATTGAATTAACTGAATGAGAAATATATCTCCATGAAATTTGAGGAAATAAGTTAAAATGAAATGCAGCAAAAAATGAGTATAATTTAATAAGCCATACAAAGAAGTCATGCAGTGTCCACATCATTTTTTTTTTTTTTAAACATTTTAAAGAGAATTTATATTGCAAATTAGATGAATGAAGAAATGAAGATATATCACTGCATGTTTTATTTCATACAGAAAAAACTCATATATTACATATAAAGCAAATATACAAAAAAATTAACTGTAATTTAAAGTAACATACCCCATCCTTCAGGAAGCGGACCCAAAGGATCATCATCTTCAACCTGTACTGGAGTCTAAAAAAGTTTATAAGATTTTAATTAGCTTAATTGAAATAAATGTACCTATACATAAAATTTTAGAAATATATAAAAATATAAGAGCTGCCGATTTATATTATTTAAAGAATCACCTAGGTGATTCATAAGTTTCATAAATGAACTGTTTACTCAATGATCTATTTTTAAAAGAATTTCAAATCTATGAATTAATTGACCATGGTTACTTAAAATTTAGAGATGATTAAATTTATGGACTAATCTGATTTACTGTTAGCCTGCATTTTTCAGGTACAGAAGTTTTACTGAGTGCACTTGACTTAGAAGTCCTAGTTGCACAAGGTGTTTTTCATTAGATAGTATGCTGGCCATCCAAAATGCAACACAAAGAAGGAGATATCAAAGCCAAATTTACTTCAGAGATTGCATATAATATCAATGTTAACTGATTTGAAATACAAACTTCGCTGAGTTGAGTAAGATAACAAAATCAGTAATGAGCGTTGGCCTACGTTACTTAACAACTGCTCTTACATTTTGTAGCACAGAGTGAAAGAGGCTTTCCATGTGTTATTGGGGAACAGCAGCCCATTCTGCCTCCACACATAGCCAAAGTCCATCTGCTACACCTGCAGCATTTGGCATGCAGGCTAAGCATTCTCCATTCATTAGCCAGACATATTCAATGGGCAATAGATCTGGAGAATGGGATGATGCTATATAGTAGGCTATGAAGAGAGCTTGAACACTTTGTGCAATACGCGATTGTGCATTGTCCTGTTGAAATGTGGCCACAGCAAGCCCTGAAGGTAAGGAAAGTCTGCAGGCTGCAAAAATTTCAGAGATATAGCATTGGCTGTAAGTATGCTGATAATGTGTACTAGGGGGTTCAGAAGTGGAATCCAGTATTTTCTCACAACATAATACTAGGTACAGAACCAGTATGATGATGCATAACACAACAGCTGGGCAGCCTCTCTCCATGATGTCTCCAAACTTTAAGCCTCCTATCGTAGTACTGCAGGTAGAAGCATGATTCATTCAAAAACACAATGTAATATCATCTGGATGTTTAGATCCACTGTTCAATGAACCATTACAAATGCAAACGCCTGTGGTTTAAAGATGGGTGAAACAACAGATGCCTAGCGGACAGTCCATTGTACTGTCGAATTGTTCAAACACCAACTGTTATGTTACATAGTGCATTCATTGTAATATGGTTGTGTATGTAGCAGTGTGCTCCATCAATGCTATGTGCACAATATGCCTGTCTACCCATAGAGTGGTGTGATGAGGCAGTTGCAATTGGTCCTGCTAGTTGTTCCCTCCTGTACCGATTCAGTATTTTCGCGCCATATTTTCATGACTGTTGCTTGGATACATCTGACAGAATTACTGATTTCCTGGAAGGATAATCTACAATCTCAGTATGCAATAGTTCTGCCTCAGTCAAACTCAGAAATATGCTCGAATGATGCGTTTTTCCAAAGTCATACTGAAGCTGCACACACAAACAATTACACACACACAAAATCAATATGCCAATCTCTCCTCTGTTTTATATATGAATTGTGAGGAACATAGCATTTGCCCATGAGGTGCGTGTGCACTAAAATCGTAATCATACGTGTATTCCATTGCAGTATATATATGATACAAGTTTCATGCTGTTTGGATGCTTTGTTCATGTTGCTGCATTTTGGATAGCTAGCAGTTAATGTTTGCTCTTGCCTCAGAGTATTACTTACTATAAGATAATAAAAGTATCTGAACTTGTTTCCTGTTAATGACAATAATTCTTACTAAGCTGTTTTGATATTTTATACCTATTTTGTCATAACACTTCAGGAAAAAGCAGTTATCAACAGGAAGCATTTTCAAATACTTTCCCTTAACTCCTATTTTCAGATTTCACTTGGGACATACACAATATAAAAAAGCAACAATATGTATGTAAGGGAAAAAAAAAAGAAAATGAAATTATTATCTGAGATTTTATACTATTGATATAACTAATGTCACTGAGTAAATCTAGTTAGCTTGCTACTGTGAACAGAATGCAGTGAAATTTTGTATATGGGCTATACACGAAATGCGCTAAGCGCTAATAGAATTTAAAAAAAAGTCCACCAGAGGGCACCTTTTCGGGAAAAGGCGTTAAATTTAACATGATAAGCGACCAAAACGAAATACAAAAACAATATTAACACTCCAGAATAAGAATTATGAGTAATAAAATGCAAAATTGGGAAAAGCTGTCAGTGTAAGAGAAAAATGTGGAGGTTTGCATTCTTCTAAAGAAGAGGAAGCTTTATGCAAAACATGTTAGGGTATAAAACGTTTGCAGACATTGTGATGTTTAAGATGATGTTTTGGCTGTACTAATGACGGTCTCTTTAGCTGAATGAGCATTTTTGGTGAAGCTGTTTTACAAAAACAAGGAGAATGCTTCTGCTGCAGTTCGTGAATTTCATCATAAAAAGAACCTCTGGCATGAACCAATGTCTGCTAAAGGTATTCAGGCCACGATTAAGAGATTTAAAGAATATTCTGTGGAGTGACCAGGCTCATTTCTACCTCAATGGGACAGTCAACACACAGAATTTCCGCATTTGGGTTATGGAAAATCCGCGGATCCACACTGAAATTCCCTTACAGTCTCCAAAGGTCAATGTCTGGGGTTGATTCATAGCGGCATTCATTCTTGGGCCATTTTTCTTTCAGGTGAACGTGAACCTGGTGCATGTTCTGTTACGGGTCGTCGGTACCATGACATGCTGCAGACAATTGTTGTGCCACAACTACTGAAAAGCCGGGTTCTTACATCGACCATTTTCATGCAGGATGGTGTGCTCCCACATATCCATGGGTCTGTGAAGGCGCTACTGCTCTAACATTTCACAGAGGAAACACGTTATTAGTCACTTCTTTCCTAATCCATGGCCACAACGTTCGCCGGATCTAACTCTGTGTGAGACGATGAATGACTTAAAGAACTTCATAACCCTTCATGTGTGTAGTCTCACAACAGTTCAATTACAATCTGCTAATGAACACACTGTCCATTGACTTGTAATTTTGTAGGTGAATGAGGGTGGTCACGTGGAGTACCTTTACCTAACTCGTCCTGGGCACGATTAACAACTGCTCCACTTGTGCAATTTCGTCCTAATCTGTTCTTGTTTCTGCAAACTGAACTGTTTCTGTATCTTCTTTACCTTAACGTAATATGGTCCGATGACAAGAAACTAGTAAATAAATTTTAATATTGTTTATGTATTCCGTTTTGGTCGTTTATTGTGTTAATTTTCCCAAAAAGGTGCCCTCTGGTTGGACATTTTGGAACTAATTTTTTTTCTTAATCATTTCGTGAGCGCGTTGTTACATATATGTGGCAACACACTAGTTGCTTGTTGAACAGAAGTGAAGTAATCACCAGTTGATGTTGGTTTGTAATAAACAATGTGTTATGTGATCCTGTAGTGATGTCATTTATTGATCAAGTAATATTAATATGAATATAACATGTCGTAGTCGTGTGGAGTAGTATTATAACTAATTGCCAGGCAATCTCTTTGGTTGTTTTTCCTCTCAGCAGACGCAAGATGGAATTTTGTCTCCCACCACAAGGCCTAAGTTTTGACGGCAATGTGGCCGAAAACTGCCGCAGATTAAAGCAGATGTTCCAGATTTATATGAAAGCTTCAAAAGATTCAAATGTGAAAGTTGCTTTATTTTTAAATGCCGCTGGTGAGGAAGCATTTGAAGTGTTTAACACACTCAATCTTTCAACAGGAGATCAGGGCAACTATGAAAAAGTGCTTGAAAGGTTTGAAGCTTTCACGATGCCTAGAACAAATGTCATGGCAGAGAGATTTTTATTCAATAAGAGAAAACAAGAAGGGGAACTATTTGATTGTTTCGTGTCTGACCTGAAAAAACTGGTAAAATGTTGCGAATTCAGTGAGCAGAGTGACGCTGATCTCTATGATTGCAGTGTCCTTGGAGTATCAGATACCAGTTTACAGGAGAGGATGCTGCGAGAAAATAATCTGAGTTTGGAAAAAGCAATTGATTTAGGGAAAGCTGCTGAATTGAGCAAAGCTCGTGCTCAAACATCAAGAGAACACAATGTTGACAGCGTAAAAAGAGGGAAAGTGAAGCAACATCAGGCAGGAGGAGCCAATGCAGCCGTAGCAGTGAGGAAGCACAGAGGACATGATGATGCTTTAAATACTGAGACTTTTTGTGTAAAAAATGCAACAGACATCATGTTAATGGACAATGTCTGGCATATGGAAAAAAATGCTTTGATTGTGGCAAACTGAATCACTTTTTGACTATGTATTAACTGAAACATGTCCAAAATGCTTCTCAGCATGATAATGCAGATGTATATAGTGAATTCCATAAATGTCCAAAAAACTAAAAGTGTTTGCTCAACATCGTCTACAAAAGAGTGGACTAAAACTATAATTGTTGAAGGGACAAGTGTGACCTTTAAGTTGGATAATAATTCCGAAATGTTTGAAGGTGTGGGAAAATTTAATAGATTGTGTAAAATTATAGTAGATGATCAGATAGCGCCTGTAGTGAGACCACCACATAGAGTACCAGTTAGTTTAAAACCTAAACTTGAATTAAAATTAAAGAATTAGAGAGACAGGGCATTATTGCAAAAGTTGATCAACCTTTCAACAGGGTTAGCAATCTAGTAATAATTGAAAAAGCTAATGCATCCTTAAGAATATGCCTTGATCCTCAAGATCTTAACAAAGCTTATAAAAAGAGAACATGTGTTGATTCCAACAAATGAGGAGATTTTACCAAAGCTATGTAATAAATCAGTTTACTCTGTTTTGGACTTAAAGGATGGGTTTTTTCAAATAGCATTAGATGGGGATAGTAGTGATCTTTGTACTTTTACTACACCATTTGGATGCTGTAAATTCAAGGCTTCCAATGGGTATTTCCTGTGCATTTGAAATTTTTCAGAAACACAATCTTGAAAATTT